ACACGCACAGCAGCAAGCTGCTCGCAGGACATGCACTTTCCCGAGCGTGCATCCCTGGCAGCAGGGCCAGCTCTGCCGAGCTGCCAGGAGATGGTGCTCTTTGTTTTAGCTCCGGATTTGTGAACTCACTTTACAGGTTAGTAATTTTTTTTCCCAAAAAAACTCTCCCGATCCCAACTGCAAAACTCTGCAGGGCACAGCATGCACAAGCACTAGGGCCCAGACCCTGAAAGTCATTTTGTGATTCCTTGGCACAATAGAAGCTGCAATAGAAATGGACATACTGGAWGGCTCCCTCCTCCTGGTCTATTATTATTATTTCCCACGGCTCTCTGTGCAGGTCCCAGATGCTTTGGGGGAGCTCGGAGCTGCAAGGAGGCTGCATCCCGCAGCCTGGAAGCCACTGCCAGCGCTTTGCTCTGCTCCTGGGGACAGGAGTGAGTCCGGGCACCAGCTGCACCAATTACCCGCCCTTCCCTCGAGGCCACACTGCTGCCGTTGCAGTGAGGCAGGTGCCGTCCCCTGCAACCCCAAGAGGACGGAGTGGGAGCTGGATTCTCTCTATATTCCAGTTACTCCATTGACTTTAGTAGGGTGACTCCCCAGGGCTCCCTGTTGCAGTTCCCTGCATGCCAAATACCAGGGATCCGCTGGGATCCCAGCCCTGGAAACAGCCCAGGAGGACRAGCATCCTATAAGCAAAGGGAGCCACCTTCCCTAATAAGCATGGGGGTTTGGGGACAGGGGAACAAAGTCCCTTCAGGACAGACCCCGGGGGCTGTAGCACCCTCAGGAGCTTTGTTTTGGGAGCTAATCTCCCCCCTTACCAGCTGACCTCCGATTTTTACGGAGCACAGGAGCAGACACGGACCAGGCRCCGGCACGGCCGCCAAGCGCTGCAGCCCCGTCCGCAGCAGAGCCACGTAGCAAACACTGATGAGCTTTTGATAAGATTGGAGCAGCTCCACTTTGGGGAGCACGGGGACCCGCTGCGCTGTGGCAGCACCATCTCAGCTGCCCATAAACAACATTATTTTCCTCCATCGTGGTCTCACACGAGAGCCGCTAGCAGCTCCTTGCAAGCAGCTCTCAGCAGAGACCCCTAGGACCACCTTCACTTTGCTGTGTCACAAGGGACCCAGATTCACCCCAAAATGAGTCAAGCAACRTGCTTCACCACCTGCAGAGGAGCAGGACGTGGTCTGGTGACAATGAGTGTCCTCAGCYCCAAGGGATGTCACCGGAGCTTGTGACACCTGGCAGGGGATACTGCAGCAAACCTGGAGGTTCAGCAGTTCTCACCTGCATGCACCTTCCACGGGCCGTCTCAGGAGCTCTGAATGGGCCTGGTAGAAAAACGTCTATGTCTACATGTCTAAAATGTCTACGAGGTCCATGGCACCTCACCCCAGTACTGTAGAAAACATGAAAACCAAGAAGCACCAAAAAGAGGAGTCTTTCCTATGAGCAGAAGCTATAGAGGAGCCCAAGAACGATTTAAAACACACAGTGTGCTAAATGTTCTACTGGAARGGCAGGTGCAGCACTCTTTCTTAAAAATTATACAAGTATTATTTCATTTTGAGAAAGAAATCACTTTCAGAAATAAAAACAATGCTTGCAATAATATCATTAGGTTCAGCAGCATTGGTCACCAGGGTTTGCTGGCAATAAGGTACTGCCCGAAATGTTGTCAAAGGCACTTGTAAATTCCAGATATGCAGAGAATAATACAATATTCTCAAATATTTGACCATACTCATATTTTTTACAGTGATAAACTTTATGAGGTCCCTGGATAAAACTATACCAAGACCTAAGTGACTGAGGACCTAAGACCCTTTTCAGGTGACTTGAAGGGCCCACCTCCTTCTAGAGCATTAGCCACAAAAGAGTCTCAAAATCTGGATGTTTGTGACCAAGTCTCATCTTTCATAGCCCGAAGAATTTAAATCTCATAGTGAACATGATTTGAGAACCTCCATTATTCACCATTTTTACCCCCATATTGCTGCAAAATTACCCAAGCCCCCAGCATCCCCTTCCCCTGCCCAACCTCCCTCTCTGTCACAAGCACCTTTTCCAGGTCCAGCCTCTACCACTGCTGGCTCCCAAATACAGAGAGCATCAGCCTCACCCAAGTGATGCAAGACAACCCTGACCCAAACTCAGCCAGAAGAGGGAAGGGAGACAATAATGATGATTTCTGACATCATCATAACTTGTCCAGCCCTGCATCACGCTGGAAGAAGAATCACAGCCCTGTGATTTTGGGTTCCTTCATGACTGAGCAGAGAGGGTTCAACAACAGACTATAATGCATCCATTGGAGAGAGGCTTTTGCTGAAACGTGAACTTTGGAGTAAGACCCACCACACAACCAGAGATTTTTCTTTCCAAACTGCCATCCAACTAATATTTCATGAAAAAGCATTATTATAAAAGAAGGAAAAGGATGAAAGTACCATCTYCCACCCCAGGCTCCGATCCCATATCCAGGGTCCAAGCTACCTCAGCATCATAAATCTTCCRAGGAAACAGAGCCACAACGGCAACAAAGTTCAGCTGAAATCACCAAGGGCTCTCAAGAGGAAAATTAATTTTGTGACGATGCAGAACAGTCATGGTGATGTGTCAGGTGCAGTAATTCAGGGAGAAAACCATCTGTCAGGAGCTGAGGGCCAGGGTCTATCAGGAGTGATGCCAGCAAAGACCCTAGATTTACATCTGCATAAAACTGTCACTAGGGAGAGAAGTACGAGGCCCTGGGAGCCACCAAATAGAGTGTGAAGACAAGACATTACCAGCCACAAATCAGGATAAAATCTAACGCCCAAGGGAAAACTGGGGAAACTAGGTCAGAGAGGACAGGGCTGCGTGAAGCTGACACACATGAACTCAAATATCACCATCTAGCTCCTTTTCCCTCCAGCGTTTTCCCATCACAGCATGGCCAGCACGAGGAAGAACTGCATACAGTGGCTCCTGGGGACCACCTTTATTGGCAGCAGTGGTCAGAAATATATGGAAAAAAAACTTCAAATATGATCCAGCTTCAAATATGATACAGAATGTATAAAAGGAAGAAGGAATGAAGATATAGGATAAATAAAATAAAATAAAATAAAATAAAATAAAATAAAATAAAATAAAATAAAATAAAATAAAATAAAATAAAAWAGTGATATAAAATCCCCCCAAAACCTCAAAGACAAGAGAACTTGGGAACTCTGCCAATRCAGGTGAGGCAGCAGGACTCCTCTCCAAGGTGCTGGTGTTGTTGTCTTGCACATAAAGTGATTTCCTTCTATTTCTGGATGATGGGGGCACCAAGGGGGCATCTGAAAGTCAGTCACAGAGTTCCCAGAGGATATCAAACTTCTCAAAGTAGTGCAGAATATGGGGCACATCCACTGCAGTCATAAATCAGCAACAACCTGCTGGCTCCAGCTGRTGTTTAAGGAGGATCGGGCCATATGTGATTCAGCTAATGCTATGAACATCCTTGCCTTCAAGGTGCCTTCTTTATTCACTGCCACCGTGTCTCTTCCCCCTGCAAAGGAAGAGGCCACTCCAAGCAGAGATGAAGGCATATTTAGGATCTCAAAAGCCCATGCAGCTGGACTATCCCCTTCTTTGAAGGGCTTTTATTACTTCCCAAGCATCCTGCCCAAGGAATGTTTGGCCAGGTTCAGTCATCTTGAAGCTGGGATATTCCATGCTTGGAGACGGAGCTGCCCATGGCCCCAACCAGCTGCACAGTGGAGGCTTCCAGACTATTGTACAATCCCACGGTGACTCCAGTGGGGCAAATTCTCCAAGAATAAGGAAACTTGAGACACTACCTGKCTCTCCTGCTCTTCAGGCAGGAATTTACATGGGGCAAGTGGTTCCGATCCCTCATTCCAGAAGGGCCGGAGGAAGCTGAGGTAAAGCCCAGCCGCTGCTACCTGCCAAGCGACGCAGCTCCCTGTGATCAGAGTTGGTGGCTAAACCTCAGTCTTTGGGGCATTTCAAAACCAGCACAGGCTGCACTGAGGAAGGTGTTTGAAGTCATCGTGGAGCAAAGTCAACTCCAAGCCAGCCTTTTACTGCAACGGGGGTTATTAAAGCATGTGGGGGGTAGTAGCATGACAGCATCATCAGGCAYGAGCCAGGATCAACATCACCGACGGGTTCCCCTCTCCACATTCAGCAGCACAGCCCGGCGTTTGGATTTYTGTAAAGGAAACACTGGGGATGGATATCCAGATCACAGTGCCTTGTGCATCTTCCCCAGCTGCCTCCCTGCTGCTGGTGTAAAGCTGGTGGCCAGAGAGCTGCAAATGCTGGAGCAAGAGGGAGGAACGGAGAGCTCGCCCTCCTCTACCTGAGTCGTATGGGGACAGAGCTGAAGTCCCTCAGAGCAGCAATCTGCTCCAGGGRCTCATGGCAAGTTATTCCCAAGACAATCGTCCTAGAGATCTCACCCCTACTTCCATCACCAGCATCTTCAACTTCAATACCACCTAGCCATGAAAAAGAGATCAGCAAGGCTGGGAAAGCACTGAAAGAGTTTCTGATTCATCCCAGGGAAATTTCAGATCCTCTTCTACTGGTATTTTCATGTTCTGATTTTAACTGAAGTTCTCTTGAACCCATAATAGAGGTGATCCTGATGGGGACACAGAATGAATGTTTTTCCTGCTTCAGGCTCTAGCACAAGCTGCTTTTGAAAGACAGCTATGTGACAGGGTGCAATCTGAAAATACCATCACAAACACAGATCCTTTCTTCCACGCCACCAACTCCACCAGACAGAATGCTGGGTCTGAAGAGCGGAAAGCAACTTCAGATGCAGTTCTGAACAGGACAAGTCTGTAGATAGTGCTGATTCATCCCCAAACAATAAAGAAAAAGCAAGTGTAGCCAGTAAGTTTTTGGTTTTTAATTGTTTGGTTTTTTGCTTTGTTTCCTAAAGGGCCAGAAGGGGAGATCCAGAAAACGCCGGGTGAAACAAGTCCTACGTCCTCTGRGAAATGTCCACTTTGAGTCCACCATATCGAGCAAATCAAAGGGCATTTGGAAGAAAGGCAYGTAACGACTGACAGTGATTGAGCACAATGGGGAGATGAGACTCCTACTTGAATAAAGCTTTTCCTCTAGCACAAACAAGCCAGGAATGGAGGCTTTTTTTTTTTTTGTGGTTTGGGTCTCCTCATTTATGAAAGGCACAAAAAGATGCAGAGGAACTACAGGAAAAGTTGCTATTGACACAAGCACTGGAGAGCAGGATGCCTGGGACCCATCTGGAGGAGGGAAGCACAGAGGAGATAAATTTATATTGCACGGGAAGAGGGAGAGCAGGATCAGTCTATAAATACTCTCAAGGTACTAGCACAAACGCAAGGAGAGAATTAGTCACAGTCTTAGAAGATGGAAGGAGAAAAAGTAGTGGCTTGCAGTTAAAACACAAAACGAGGCTAAATGTTAGATCATATCTGTGTTATTTTGGTCAAGAAATAAGTGAAATAGCACAGGATGCTATCTGGGTGCTTTTCCCACTTTACAATGCATCTAGACAGGCCTTGAGAGGGAATGAGGTGCACCTCTGCCCTGGGAGGAGTTTCCAAAAATCTTCTTTGCTGGCATCACTGCTGATAGCTGCATGTTGCCTCTTGTACAGTACGACTCCCAATTCTAAGCAAATAGAGACTCTTCAGTTTATCAAAAGGAAGTTAAGTAGAAGGAATTTTGCTCAGAATTGAGCAGAAGGAATTTAAACTTTTTTTTCCCTTCCAGTGAAAAAATAAATAAAAATCATTCTAGGTCAAATCAATTTAATTTGACCTGAAGCTAAGTGTCACAGATCTGGTTYACAGCAAATCCACTTTGAATATCAAAGGGAATCGCTGTGCGTCAGGGACCCTAATGGGAACACACGTGCTGTGGTGTTTGCGGAGGGCTCTGCTGCAGAGCTGCCCTCGTTTGCCCCATCGCAGGCAACTGCACTTGATGCATGGCAGTTCCCTGCAATGTCAGTGGAGGAACATCAACACTCAGCACGAGGATTTGCCCTGTGGAGCAAGAATTGATGCTGTTCCTTCCCACCGTTTCTGAGAAGATTCTGGAAGATGTGCTCCAGCTACCTAATTCCTTCCATAAACCATTTGGGCACCTTCCTTTGCACATACACTATGTTTCCAAGATATGGACCTCATGGAAGGTTCCTTCCTTGAGATGTCACCCCAAGCTGATGAAGAGGTAGGCACAGCAGTATGACCAGTGCCTGTGTTCTCTGACAAGAGCTTGCCTGCATCATCATCCCCATCACAACATCTTATGACCATCAACAAACAAGTAGACCAGCAGAAGAGCCTGCTTAAGATGGGTGCTAGGTTACTGATCCATGTGAAGCTCTGGTCGCCCTTGTAACAGTTCACAGGGTTGTGCAAAGACAAGGCCTTTCCTTGTGGTCCTCAAGACCACTGAGGCCTTTCCTTGTGGTCCTCARGACCACTGAGGCCTTTCAACCACTTTGACGTCGCAGAGGCACGACCAAAGTTTGCAGGCAGTTCTAAATCACCCTGGGAGCCATTTTAGCTTCCAGCATTTTGGAGTTGAGCCATGAAATTATTCACCACATTGTATAGTTGCTATAGTAACATCATATTGAGTATTATTAGAAATCACAGTCCCCAAAGCCCATGTATTGGAAGGAATCGTGCAATGGGACAGTCTTCTGTAGAAGAACCGTCTTTTTCTACAGGGCTTTGTTTCACTCRGCGCCAGTGACATCCTGGGGAATTAACCAGGCTGCACAAACCTCTGCCCAGCTCTGTCACAGCAAGGAGATCTGGACTGCAAAAAGCAACGTGCACGCAACTTTTGACAGGCCTATTGGTTCAAAGCAAGTGCCCCTCAAAGCTTCTTTTCTGCAGCAATTTGCTCATGCATTTTCCAGAGAGAATGAGAAAAAAAAATACACCCTAAACACAGGCAATGGGTATTTTTATCAGGCCATGAAAACTGCATCACAAATCCAAGCCCCTTCCCCTCCATTGTTCAATAACCCAGAGTGTGACCCTGCAGACATGGCTTTTGTGGTAGACCTTTCTGAACACTTCCCATTGTGTGTAAAAGTTAACAAGAACTGTCATCTTTTCCACAAATGATGTGAGGTTAAATGTTAGGACAGTGTATATTCCATAAATCCATAAATTAAGGCAGTCAGGGACTGAGACCAAGATCTAGACTGCACCTTGCTCGACACCAGTCACACTCTGTTCCTTCACTGCAACTCCTTTTATTTTCCAAGAGGAAAATTGAGTTCCAGCATGTAAATGCTACTATTGGGTAGTGACTTTCCATAATAAATTAGGAATGCTCACTGGAAGAGTGTCAGGTCCCAAAATTGAATATTAGATATGCTGCAGTTGTCCGCATGGACTCTGCACACGGATCCTCTTGGGTCCCCTCTACAGTGCACAGTCCCCTGATGCCCCTACTCCTCTTGCCATGACGGAAGTCAAACTGAGTGAGAGATATTGAGGTGATGGATGGGGAAAAGGCGCTCACAGCCTGACAAAACTTCTAAAAACAATATTTTTGATTTCAGTTTTAAGCTCTGTTTCTTCAGTTTTCAAGTTCTCACCAATCCACCTTTCACTCAACCCCAGACAGGGACCTTCAGAGTGTTTGATCTCTTCTAATCCAAGTCTCATATGGTTCAAGTGAAGCTTCTCATACCTTGACAAATGAGGCTGACTGAGACATCCAGACCCCAGCCCATGGAGATATGGCACAAAAATAACTTTTCCAGTCGGGGATTACAGATAACTGAGGATTTSTCCTTTAAATATTGAGAGCAGGGAAGATGAGGGAAGTTGAGGATGAAATGCTGCATGAAAATGAAGGGAAGTTCATGTGGGTTATTTATACTTCCACTGGCTTCATTTTCACCTCCCCTGAAGCCATTTAACACTGTTTTGCAGTGTGAAAGGGCCTTCACATGAATAAACATTCAGGCCTGTCACTAAGACACCTACAACATATGGACAGACCCTTCCACGTTAGTGTTTCATTCCCTGAGATGCAGACAGGTTTGAGGACCTTATGCCCATTTTGACCAAGAGGACAAGCATAAACAGCCATTCCAGGGACTACCACTGTGTGTATTCCCAGGACCCAAATACCTCCTCAGGAGGCCACTATGCAACATGCCACCTAGATGAGACATGCYTAGTTCTGAAGGACCTGAGATGCGGGACCTGAAACAAGGTTTGGCTACACACATGCAAAGACCATTTTAAATACCCACGTTTTTAAATACCTATTTACCCACACGTTGCTATATTTAACTGAGGAGTTAAGTTATCAGCAGCTGTACTCACTGGAAACGCATAAAGTGCATAAAGATGATATATTTTATAAGATAAAACTGGAAGCTTCACTTTTTTCATTTTACCTCTTATTTTGAACTATATAAAAGCTTTGCCCACTAGTCATCTAGCTTTACTCAGCTGAGTTTTATAGCAACTGCACTGACAAAAATGTGTTCTCCTGAGAACTGCTACACTAAAATATCTGTCATGTGCACTGGAACCTGACCGCCTGCACAGTTTACACCAATTAACATGATGTGAGACTCCCAAATCCCTTCACCACTCTTTTAAAAAGGAAAAAAATCCGCAAATTTCTGCTAAAAAACAACGAAACAAAAACAGTACAGTAGGTTTTCCAATTCTGATCCATCCTTGAGGACTCTGAAACAAGACCCAGAAGACCATGGAGGTTCTAAACAAGGATAGTGTTAAAGTTAGCAGGTGCAATGGATCGGGCACATGCAGAAAGCAGAGAACATGCACATGTCCCTAGATGGGAAACCATCTCACCCAGCTTCTCCTTTGCCATGTGTCCCACACAAAGCCACKCAGACACATGCAGCAGGAGGGAAACCCCTTTGGGGTTGGAAATGCTGGAGAGCCCCAAAGCAGCCTGCTGGGGTGCTGCACCTAAACTAAATGGGCTGAGATGTCTTAAGGAAGGTCCTCTGTCAGCTTCCAAATTTGTTGAGGGCTCCTTCTGCTCACCACTCTCCTAGCTCTCAAAAATAAACCTCTCATTTTCAGGAAAAAATGGTGAGAGGCCAGAGCTGTCCACACCACAAGAAAGGAAATCTGGTCTGTTTGCAAGGTTAGCAGGAACAGGGAATGGGTTGGACCCGTTTGGGTCACTAATGGAAGTTGTGCCCTCCTGTCATGGTGAACCTGAGGTCCCCTTGCTGGGTAACAACCACCGTCTTGAAAAGCAACCTGATTTTTGACTCCATATACCCATTAGAAAATTGCCCTGTGATGWGGCTGCTTTAGTGCTTCAGAGCCTCTTTCCAAATCTCCAGCCTAATTTTATTCACTGCCAGCCTATATCCATTAGTTCTGGTTTCAGCACTGGCCTTTGGCCCATGGAAGTATTTATAGGAAGCAATCATTCCCTCACAGCTCTCATTTCATTAGACTGCCCAAATTACCATCCCCGCGCTCCATCCCCCGAAAAACCTTGTGGAGAACCTAAAACGCCTGGTGCCACACTCTGGGAAGCTTCCTTTTCTATTTCTCTGTCCTCAATTCTTCTTTGAGAGGCTTTCTGACAATATTTCTACACTGAGAAATGCATTTTCACAGAATCACAGAATGGCTGAGGTTGSAAGGGACCTCTATAGATCRTCTAGTCCAATCCCTCTGCTCCAGCAGGGACACCCAGAGCACTCTGTTAGACCCTCTCTAGAAGCTCCACGTCTCTCTTGCCCTGGGGAGCCCAGARCTRCCCCCAATGCTCCAGGTTTGGCCTCCCCAGAGCGGAGCAGAGGGGCAGGATCAGGATCCCCTCCCTGCCCTGCTGGCAGTGTCCTCCTGATGCAGCCAGGAGTCCGTTGGCCTTCTTGGCCACGAGGGCAGTGCTGGCTCATGGTTAACTTAGTGACAACCAGGACTCCCAGGTCCCTCTCTGTGGAGCTGCTCTCCAGCAGGTTAAATCCTGATCTGTACTGGTGCCTGGGGTTATTCCTCCCCAGGTGCAGGACCCTGCACTTGTCCTTGTTGAACCTCATGAGGTTTCTCTCTGCCCAACTCTCCAGCCTGTCCAGGTCCCTCTGGATGGCAGCACAGCCCTCCGGAGTGTCGGCCACTCCACCCAGCTTGGTGTCATCTGCAAACTTGCTCAGGGTGCCCTTTGTGCCCTCGTCCAGGTCATTGATGAACAAATTGAACAGCACTGGGCCCAGCACTGACGCCTGGGGGACACCACTGGC